CCGCTACCCGCTACCCGCTACCCGCTATCCGCTGAATTTTAACCGTTGTACCAAACAGGCCCTTAGTTGCATTTCAATTTAACTGATTTTGAGCAGCGGACAACCAATTGCATGAGGAAATTACCAATGATATAGGCTTGACACTTCCAAACCTTCAAGAAATTGTTTGTGGAATTAACAACTTTATTGGGCGGCTTCCGATTTTATTGTCGAATGCTTCACAACTGAAACTCATTGCATTCGAAATCAACAATTTCAATGGACCTGTGCCTCTGAATCTAGGAAGATTGAGTGCTCTGGAAGAGTTGCGTCTCGTAAGCAATCAATTAGAAAATATTGAGGGAGACAACTTCAGTTTCATAGCTTCTTTGACTAATTGCAGCAAACTCTCCACGCTAGATTTAGGTGAAAATCGTTTTAAAGGTCATTTGCCTTCTTTAATTGCTAATCTCTCAAGCAGGCTTAATTATCTGTCTATAGAGAATACTCAGATTTCTGGTAGGTTCCAGATGGGATTGGCAACTTGATTGGCCTTGCAAGGTTGGGTCTCCAACAGAACTTTTTCACAGGTGAAATTCCAAATAGTATTGGCAAATTAGAAAAATTGAATGAAGTTTGGTCATCTAATAACCAACTTTCAGGTACAATTCCCTCCTCAATTGGGAACCTCACCAAGTTGCTTTATTTGCATCTTGAGGGAAATAATTTAAAAGGTGAAATACCTCTGAATTTGGGAAATTGTAGCAAAATTTTAGAAGTCCACCTATCTTCTAATAACATTACTGGTTCTATACCAAAAGAAGTTATAACTACTACTATCATAATCTTAGACTTCTCAAAAAATTTCTTATTTGGGCTATTGCCTCTAGAGCTAGGAAATATGACCAATCTATTTGCTTTGCTCTTTTTCCACAATAGATTATCTGGCGAAATCCCAAGTACTTTGGGAAATTGTCCCATGTTGAAATACCTTTATTTGGAGGATAACTTATTTATGGGTAGCATCCCATCCTCCTTCAGTGCTTTAAAAAATCTTAAAAATCTTGACCTTTCAAGAAATAATTTATCTGGACAAATTCCAAAATATTTCCAAAATCTCACCCTTCTACAGTATTTGAATCTGTCTTTCAATGAATTTGAAGAAGAGGTTCCATATGAAGGGGTCTTTGGAAATGCAAGTGAAGTTTCAATTGTTGGAAACCAACACCATTGTGGAGGCATTCAGAACCTTGGACTCCCTCCATGTAAAGCCCAAGGCTTAAAGAAGAACAAAAGGTCTCACAATCTTAAAATTGTGATTCCAATTGTTTCTTGCTCAATCTTATTAGCAGTGTTTCTGTTTCTGTTTCTTTTCACTTGGGCAAGAAGATCTAAGAGGAAAGCCTCTTCCCTGCTACAAACACAGGAACCATTTCCAAAGATTTCTTATGCAGAGTTAAGTCAACCAACTAATGACTTCTCATTGACTAACTTGATTGGTGAAGGAAGTTTTGGCTCTGTTTATCAAGGAATCATGGGTGAACATGGAATGCTAGTTGCAGTGAAAGTGGTGAACCTTAAGCAAAAAGGAGCATCCAACAGTTTTTTAGTGGAGTGTGAAGCTATGAGAAACATTCGTCATCGAATCTCATCAAAGTTTTAATTATCTATTCCAGCATAGACTTTAAGGGGTCAATTTCAAGGCTATAGTGTATGAGTTGATGCAAAATGGAAACCTAGACGAGTGGCTGCATTCAAATGAAGTCCAAGTAGGAGTTCACAATTTCAATTTCATCAAGAGACTGAACATAGCAATTGAAGTCGTATATGCAATTGAGTATTTGTATTACCACTACCAACCAGCAATTATTCATGGTGATCTCAAGCCAAGCAATATTCTACTTGATCATGAAACGGTTGCTCATGTGGGTGACTTTGGACTAGCAAGATTTCTTATTTCCTCAAAGAAAACAAGCTCACTTGGTATAATAGGGACCATTGGCTATGTTGCACCAGGTAATATTAGTTTTACCTTGAATTTGTGTAGCGAAAGTTATAGTTTAGCATCTAGGTACTGAATAACATTATGAATTGGTCTCATGTTTCCTTGCTTTCACTGCTAACCATTTCATTCAGAATATGGTACGGCTGGAAAGGCATCAATGGCAGGAAACGTGTTCAGCTTCGGAATTCTCTTGTTGAAGATGATTATAGGGATGCGACCAACTGATGAAATATTCAAAGATGGCCTGAACCTTCACCAATTTGCCAAACTAGCATTGACAGACCGCGTGATGGATATTATTGATGTTTCATTGCTGCAGGAAGTTCAAAATATAGATGAAAATGTTGGGAACACTCGAAGAAGCAGTAGAGAAAGGACAATTAGTATCAAGGAGATCCTGATTACCTTTGTAAGAATAGGAGTTCTTTGCTCAAGGGAGTCTCCAAATGATCAAACGGAGATGAATGATGTTGTTGCAGAATTATGTGGAATTAGAGATAAGCTTCTTGGTAATTATAGATTCAGATAAATGATCAAATTATTGGCAATTTGACTAGCCATGTATCATGTATCCTTGTGTAACATTTTCGGATGATAAAGAATGCAAAGTAGTAGAACATTTCTATTCTTGACTTCTTCCTTACTACAATTCAGAACAGAAAGAATCGACAACTTCCTTTTTCCTTTTGTTCCTTTTAGCATGAAGGGCAGGCATCAATTACCATACAACAATAAAATACAAGAAGACTGCTTTCTGAGCAGCAACTCATTTTGGTCATGTATGGCAGAAGGTAGATAAGTAGCAGCTACTTTGAATCTGAATAAGCAAGCTTTTTGTAGACATCAAGCAAGAATTTCCTTTTCAAACGTTTGAATGAATTTTCAGAAATAGCATTCATCCTGAAAAGGGACTCAGCCAGCTTTATAGCTTCATCCTGCCATCCAGCAAATCCAAACCCTTCAATCAATATTGTGTAAGTGGTTTCATTTGGCAGGCATCCCTTATTAACCATTGCTGCTAAAAGTTCAATAGCATCATCCATTCTACGTGGACGTGCTTTCTGTAACCCAAGAAGAATGGTATTATAGGCAATAACTGTTGGGCAAAATTTACTGGTTTCCATGTCCACTAGCAACCCTATGGCCTCATCAACCATTCCATCCCTGCACAAACATGAGAGTAGTGAATTATAAGTAACCTTATCAGGATCAATCCCTTTGCTTAGCATCTCTAACATCATTTTCAAAGCCTTAACTTTTTCTCCATTGCTCCATAATGCTTTAAACATTGTGTTGTAGGATCCCACATCTGGAGGGCAACCAACTTCATCAAGCTTCTCAAAGATCTGCAAGGCCTGATCAGCATTACCATTCTTGCATAAAGTAGATAAGATTGTGTTGTAGTTAAAGATTTTGGGCAGGCAACCATCAGATATCATATAATCCAATAATTCAATAGCCAAATCTATTCTCCCATTTTCACAGAATGCAGAAACAAGTGGGTCATAACAATAACAATCAGGAGTCAAACCCTTTTGTTTCATAGCCTTCAATACTTCTGTAGCCTCCTTGATCTTTCCTTCACGACACAGAGAGTTAATCAACGTGCTGTAAAAAAAAATATTTGTCTCACACCCCTTGGAAACCATTTCTGTCATAAGTTTCTCCCCTTCATGCCACTTTCCCTGTTTGGAAAGTGCCCGTAGCAAGATATTGTAAGATACCACATCTGGCTCACATCCCCTAGATTTTAAGCTCTTGAAAAACTCTAAAGCTCTATCCACCATCCCATCCTTGCACATTCCATTCATAATTACATTGTAAGTAAACAAGTTCGGTTCAAGCCCCTTCTGTAACATTTCATCCAGAAGCTTCATAGCTTCATTAACCCCACCTTCCAGCAAGGTTGCTTCTATCAAAATTGTGTAGGTGACAACACAAGGTTCACATTTATCTTTCAACATTTGATCCAAAACCTTGAAAGCCAAATCAAGCCTCCCTCTACTACAGAAGCTCCCAATCATTGTATTATAAGTAACAACATTAGGAGCAAATCCCCTGCTTCTCATTCTATCAAGAAATTTATTAGCTAAATCAATCCTATTCACCTTGCAAAGCTCACCAATCAATACATTATAAGCAAACACATCAGGTTCTCCATGTTCCTCCAAAATCTCCATAATCCTAACAGCTTTTTGGATGTTCTTCGAGTTAAAAAACCCTTGAATCATCCTGGTACAAAGGACAGCTTCAGGTTCTAATCTCCTACTTATCATCTTCTCAAAAGCTTTATCAGCTAAATCCATCCTATTCGCTCTACATAACCCACTAATTAATGTAATATAAGCAAATATATCAGGTTCACCATATTTCTCCAACATCTCCATCAACCTAACTGCTTTTTCAATGTCTCCTAAATTAATTAACTTTTTAATCCACCTTGTACAAGTAACAGTATCAGGCTTGTCTCCATGACCTTTACTAAACATGTATTTGGGAAAGGATAGTGACTCACTGTACTTGCCTTCTTCCATCAAATGGGTCTCCTTCAAATCTGAAGATAGGAGATGAGTGGGTCTTGTTTCAGCAGAAGCAGTGGCCTTTTCTGTGTCTATGAAGCTGGAAGCATCGTGGGGATTGTTTATGCAACCCACTGCAGTGTTCTGGTGTGAATGTGAAGTGGGTTTCAGTTTCTGCGTGGTGAAGGGTAGGACATGAACGATCAACTCCGCCGCGAAAAGGGTCATTGATAATGGCTTCTTTACTACTGGGCTCAAATTTCAAGAACCATTTTTTTGAATTCCTGGAAAGACAAATAAGAATTTATATGAAAACTTGGTTTGAAAAGCTTTTGTTTTGAGTTCTTTGCATTCCGGTCTTCATATGGTTAACTACTTTTTCATGATGGACGTGATGGATAAGGAATCGATGGTCGGGAATTGGATTGGGTTAAATCGATAAACTTATCTCTTTTTTTCTTTTTCTTTTTTTTAATCTTGTTCACTTAATATAAATTTACTTTTGTTGCGGCTCGTTTCGTACAATGATATGAATCTTGAGCAAGAGATTTTATCTTTTTTAAGTATGTGTTTAAATTATGTGCCACTTGATCCTTTGGTGCCTGTTAGTTTAAATTGCATATTTTTTTTTATGAGTGAGTTTTGAGCCTTCCCTTAATAACATGTTCAAAAATAAAAAAATATTTTTTTTAATTAATTTCTAAATAATTTTAATTTATTCAAAAAATATAAGT